TAGAGTCTGGTTAGGCTTTATATCACATTACTTGTTATATATTTGAAGATAATAGTTCTTTTTCTAAAAAGGTTGGATGCTTGGATTGGAAAAATATTTCACAATTATTAGAATTCCACAAAAATTCGTCTACATATCACTGTTGTGCTATGATCATGATTGAAAGCAGTAACATGAGCAGATGTGTGAAATTGTTTTTGCTTAAAAATTTTTAAAACAAAATAGATTATCGGAAAAATTTTTTAAATTTGTTGAGTTGTCTTTTTCATAAAGAAGCTATGTAGCCGGGGATTACCTCTTCGAGGGCACAGTGAAAAATTTTATGACAATCACAATGGAAGAGTTATGATGTCACTAGAAATGATTGCAGAATATGATTCCTTTTTGAAAGAGCACATACTAAAGTATGGAAACTGTGGTTCTGGAAAAACTTTATACGTCAAAAATAATAATTGATTAATTTATTAATATAATTGAAATAAAAGTGAGAAAAAAATATTAAGCGATATATAAAAAAAAAAAATATTTATCTATAATTGTTGATTGACACCTAATATTTCTCACACTGACCAATTATCATTGATAATTCGATATGTTCATATTGATAATGGCAAAATACTGGGATGGTTTTTAAATTTTTTCAACAATGTTGATCAAAATTTAATAAGTTGTTAGATATATCAATGATGTTTTTTGAATTTATTAATTTTTATTTCATCAAAGGTATTTTATGATTTCCAAAGTACGCGTGAATTAATGATAATTAATATGCAATGACCTAAGGATTGTAAATTGTAATCTATTGAGACTAAATAATAAATTTTTTCTCAATTTAGTTCGCAACATTTATTTACAAATAAAGGAACGTATAATCTTGAATTTAAACAAAAGAAATTAAAATAAAAGGAGCTAAAAATAAAATATAAGTTGTTTTGACATTTCTTTTAAAAAACTTTTAAAAATAATATCATATTTATTTAAATATATAAGTATTTAATAATAAGTTAATAAAAATATCATATTATTGGCATTGTTAAACGCACAATAAAAAATAAAAAATATAATAAATATATTAATTCTAAACTTGAAAATTTGTTTAAACATTTTAAAGTGTTTTAACATGCAAATAAACATTACTTCACTTTAAGAAAAATAAGCAAGTTAAATAAAAAGCATGCTAAAAGAGCAACAATGTTTAAGCGTGGTTTCTTTTAAAGTAATTGCAAATTTACTCATTTAAAGTAAAATTTAGCATGCTTATGTTAACGCATGTAAAAACCATTCTAAAACATAATTACTTTCTTTGAAAGCGTACTTAGTTGTTTCACTTAATAGTAATGCTATTGAAGTCAAGCATTTGTTAGTTACGTCAACATTACAAAAATATATTCATAATATATGTCATCTATTGCAGCATGAAAAAATTGTTTAGACAAGCATTGTCTAAACAATGCTTGTCTAAACAATTTTTTTTTAAGTTTTTACTGCTTATAAAAAAAGTTTTATATTTTCTTATTGTAATAGAATGCAGGCATTTTAATAGTTATTAAAAATAATTATTAAAATGACTGTTTTTTTAAATTTTAGTTACAATAATGTTTTTTTTTTATTTTAGTTAAAATTTTTGAGAAAAAATTATACTTTTTTGAGAGCCATAAATTGCTCCCGTAAACTGTTTTAGGGGAGTTAGGGCGAGGGTGAGAACTATAGCTCTTGCTTCCTGTCGATGCCTGATCATATGATAATGCAAATAATATGTCCAGAATCTGCAACGGCTTAAAGGCCAAAACATTAGGAATAAATTCAAATGATTTTGTTCAATATGCTTGCCATTCTACAAATTTAGTTAGTGAAGCTGTGCATTTTTTCTTACTAATTCAAAAAATTTATTCTTTCTTTAGTGTGTCAACCAGTGGTAGGCTCTATTAAAAGCAAAATTAGGACCAACCAAAAAAATTCTGAAGGCCTAATCTAATACTTGTTGGTCAGCTAGATCAGATACCTACAAAGCCTTGTTCCAAAATTACAAAGAGACATTTGGTGTACTTAAAGAAATTACAAGTGACAATTTGGAAAAAGTATTGACTCGTACTGAAGTAGGCCGATTATTAAGAAAAATGAAAAAATGGAACTGCTCTCAACTATTTAGCAAACTATTTTAGAAAGGGTTGACAGTGTAAACAAAAATAAAAAAACTGCTAATACAAACGTGTATACTGTTATTTAGCTATACGATTTGTTATTAAACAACTTGTTGGAAATAAAAGAAAATTTTTTTAGATTTCAAGAAAAAGTTTTGACAATTTTGATTAGCTCTGGTTGTGAACAGAAAAGAAATAGAAAAAGGTAAATGTATTTTGATGAATCCGAAGTAGATAAGATTATAACAGATAGTCCAAATGAATTATTGAAAAAGAATTTGATAAAATTATATCAGTTTTGCTAAATGAATTACAAAAGCATAAAAATTCATATATTTTTTTGAATAAAAAGTTTGGATATCTCGAAAAAATATGTTCTATTGATACTGATGTAATTATAAAAGAATTGTACAAATTTTATGAAATGGATTTAGATTGTGAGGAACTAATGGAAGAAGTTCTTCATTTTAAACAGCTTTTGCAGAAAAGTGATTCGAATACGAAAGAAGTACACAAACTAGTTTAATTTTTTATTTATAAAAAAATATAATGTGTTTCAAAATTCGGAAATCAATTTCAGAATTTATCCCTCACTAGTAGTAAGAAACTGCTCCGCTGAAAGATTATTGTCGTGTTTAAAAATAATAAAAGTTATCTTCGTTCGAAAGAAACCAAATTAAATAACGTTTTGATTATACACATTGAACACGATGTTTTAAAAAATGCTATAATATTTTAAAATCGCCTTAACTACACTGAATACCTTTTCGTTATACCTTGCAATAACAACTCAGTAGCAACATCAAAAATAATTTGAATTCTGATGTAGCTTTATTTCAATCATATACTTCTATTGTCAAGCAATGTCTTGAAAAATAATTATCAGAGATACTTAAATATGAATGTGCATATGGAGGCAAAACACATTAATCTTGGAATTCAAATCTGCTGATTGTAGAAGCCCAGATCATTGTTGAGCGCCAAGTTAGTGGCAGAACGGCTAAATAATTTTAATAATGACTTCCAGAAAGAAACTGTCGCCTTTACTACTTATAGAGCAGGCGTGATGGTGAAATTTGGTAGATTTGCATTAATTTAGCTGATGCACTGCATAAGAAACTCACAAGATAAGCTCAACTCACTGCATAAGAAACTCACACTGCATAAGAAATTCACACAACGTTGTAAGAAATTTCAAAAAATGAAAATATATTTTTAAATCCGAAGAAAACTGTTATGCGTCAAGGAATTAAAAAATTGTTGACAAGAGATATACAATTGAAGAAAACAAAAATGAAAAATCTATTGAGGATTCAAAAATTTTCTCAACAACTTAATCCTACTATTGTTGAATGAAGAATTAGAAATGTATATATAGAAAGAGAAGAAAAATTGATCATGAAAACTTAGCATCAAAGAAGATGCTAAGTTTTGACATTTTTGACTTTGAGAAATTATTGAAGAAGGAAGTTTCTGTCTATAAAAGAAATATATAAACCAGAGTTTATTTTTCTCGTCTCATATCGTTCTTAAGCATTTTGATTTGCAAAGTTTGGGCAATACCATATTTAAGATCATTTTTGCAAACAGTACATTTCTTCATCCAGTTTATTTTCTTTTTTCAATCATTTTCATTAAACTTTTCTTTTTAAAATTTAAAAATTAAACTTTTCTTTTTAAAATTTTCTTCAGGAGGTTTATAATCAGGCTCTTAATTTAATCCATGAAAAGTTTCTGTTGCTGCAATTTGAAAATCTCCTTCTATAACTATAACTATTTTTAGAGATTCATCATTTTCTTTTACCCTGTTCTCATATACCCAAACTTTATATCTTATTAACATCTGGAATCTTTTTTGCAATTGATGGTATAAAGTCTCATCACCAAGTTCTTCAGTCCTGCTGTTTCTGAAGAACCTGAATAGTTTGATGTTTATTTTGTGTAAATGTGGACTATAAAAGCATTTTTTTCCTGTTTAATGCTGACATGCATTTTGAACTGCTGAATGTTCTTCTATTTGCTAATTTGATTTTCGATCTCTTTTTCACCATTCTTCAGTGGCAAAGAAACTTATCTTTGCTATCAAATTTTGATTCAATGGTAATCAAAATATTGACTGCGTATTATTATTTTATTTGAAGATCTTAATTTTAACACTTGCGTATTATTTTTTTTATTTGACTTAATTTTTAAGTCAAGACTTAATTTAGTTATTATTAAATTTTTGCTCTGCTTAAACAAAATGTTAAACCGTTAAAAAAAAAAATTAAAGACATCAGATGGATAAAATATTGTATTAGTTGGTTGAATCTTGTATTAATTATCCCCTTCAATCTGGTTCTTTTTATTGGTCAAGCAGAATGTGGAAGTTACTATAAGTAATATGTGTATAGTGTAAAAATAACATAATTATCTCTTCTGATCAGAAAACAATTTTTTTACAGAAAATTTTCAATACTTTATTGAGCCTATCTTGTTTTAAACATTTTAATATTTATTTGTCATTTGTTTTTAAAATACCCTAGATAATAAATATAACTTCTTTTTCAATACTTTTCTCATAAAAAGATCTGACATCTTGTGTTAAAAACCATTTTATAATTCAATATTAATGGCAATTTATCTAAAAGTTTTGAACCCAAGTTGTTAATGATATAAAATGATAAAACTAATTGAGCCCTGCAGGTTACTGCAGGTTACTGCAGGTTATTTTTGAGTGGGTTCTTTTTTCATATAACTTTATTTATTTGTTAATTAATAATATTTTCACTAGTAATATTTTTATTTATAAATTTTTTTAAAAATAACTAAATTAATTAACATACGTAGACTCCAAGATATTTATTTTATTATGTATAGGTTTTAGCTGTTTCCATGGTAGGATTGGGACTTTTGTTTATGATTATATTTCATGTTGGTGTAAAAGAAGAACCAGTGGGTAGTTTGTACTCAGTTTCATATGGAGATGAAGAAGCAACTAGTTTAGCTGCAAGCATTCAATCTGTTTCATGCCAGAAGACTATTAAATCATGGTTTAAAACACCTTTGTTTTATCAAGTAATGATTTTTTTAAAACATGGTATTTCCCAAAAGATAATTATTTGTATTCATTCTTCAGGATCATTTGCAGGGCAATATTTTAATTCATACCTCAGGTTTATTTTCAAAGGATAATTTTTTATTCATTCATCATTCACACACTCTTATGAAAATCAGTTTTTCAAAAAACCGACTTTGGTTCTACAGCATATACCAATGAACAAACCAGTTTCCAATATCTAAAAAACAATTTATTTTGTTTTTTTAGAATGTTAAAATAGTTTTGCATTTTGGAAAGCTAATTTGAATATCTAGATAATCAAGTTAAATTGATTTTCTAGAAAACAGGCTTTATTTAGTTTTTTGGATATTTGATCTTTTTTCGTTTATTGGGACAAGCCAAGAATTAGTTTTTTAAAAATCACAGTTGAATTTTTACTTTTTATCAAAATGTTAAACACATTCATAATTATTACATTAAACTTTGATGAGTTCAGTTTCATAAAAAAATTCTATATGATTACAATTGATTACAAAAACTCCAGTTTATAAATTTATTTTTAAATTTGTATTTTTGTCTATCTGCATTAAATATATTAAGTATATATAAATTTAATAAATATATATAATATAGGAGTTCTATAGAACTCTTATATATAGCATATCAATTTTATGTATATAGAAGTGTTCTATAAAGTACGATTTATTTATTTCCATGTTTATAGTTACTTCATAATACTATATAATATTATACAGAATAAAAAAACAAAAAATTTATCGACAATCAGAAAACTAAAAAGTGTGGAGTTCAAAAAAATAAATTTCATTAAGAATTTTTTTTTTTTAAATAATAAAAAATATACTTTAAGGAAACAATTTCTTGTTCTCAAATTTATGTCTATTAGTTCTGATAGGTTATCACATTATGCACAGATGACTAAACCCAACCCACAAGTAATATCAAGAATGGATATGCTTAGTATCTCAACAACTACTAGACTTATGTGTGTTGGATTTATATGACCTTCTTTTTACTCTAAGGATTGAGGCTGGATAGATTAGATCCTAAAAAATAGAACTATTATGTTAACTAACTCTAGCAATTGCATTAAAAACATATAATAAATACATTAATAAAAAAAACTAATAAAAATACAAAGTAATAATAAATTTTATTATAAGTAAATAATAAGAGTGTATAGAATATTGGCTTAAGTTTTAAACTTTATTAAACTTTAAATTTTAACCACAAAAGTGTTGGTTATTAAGATAAAAGTTGTACAGAATAATTTTTGCTTTAAAATTTTATTCAAATAATTTAGTATTAAAATGATTTATATAAATCATAAAATATTGATTATGTGGTTATGGGTCATTCCATGCCAAATGGACCAAAATTTACGATTTCAACATAGACCACCTCAGATTTTGATGAAACTTGGTGGCTTGGTTTATATTAATGAGAAAAGCAATTCCTAAAAATTCCAGCATAAAATCTTTTGTGATAGTTAAGATATGGTTATTTAAAATTTCTGATTTTTCCAAAAATAAAAAATTTTAGTAGTGAAAACATGTTTTTTGTTCATACTTTGAAGCTTTATATTTTAAAAACAAAGAAAAGAAGTTTTTTTTTCTTGTATACAACTTTAGATTTAATAAAACTTTGTCATTTACTTTAATAAAAATTTAAATTTTCGAATGTCACATTTTTTCCATAATGATTACCTAAAAAATCATTTACGAATATATTTAAAAAAAAGTTGATTTTCAATAAGTCAATAAATAGAATCTGCAATTTAAGAAGTGAAAATACATATTTTTTTAGTTATAATAAATGGCAGGCTTCTAAATTTTTAAAAATTTACTGATAAGATACAATTCAGTAAAAAATTATCGACTCCTAAAAATTACTTTGGCTAAAACTTAAGAAATTGTGCCTTCACTTCAAACCACTGGTAAACTAGGATCAACATTAATTTTAATAAGAATTTTTTTTCCTACTGATTTAATAGACTTTGTTACAGTGATTTTCGAAACAAAATATAGTGGGTACTCATGGGGAAATTACAAAATCAAAACTATGAAATTTACACAAAGTGCATTTGAAACAAAAATAGATTTATTGATTGTTTTATATATGTAATACAAAGTATGTATATATGTAAAGGTATTTCATAATCAGCACTAGAAATGTTTTAAATTAGGCCAAATTAAACTCAGTTTTTATATAGCCCTCCCTTTCCCTCCTTAACCACATCATTAATTTACTTTTTAACATACACATTTTTGCCCAGATTTCAGAAAAAATTGTAATTAAACATTTCTATTTATGCAGTGTGTCTGGTTATATGTCTGATGCATGAGGTGTCGTAATGCACAAACACACTACTAAACATACACATATAAAAGCTGTGACATCGAGTTTGTAAAATAGTAAAAAGACTTCATATAAAATGTGCAGTCTTTTTACTTTTGACTGCGTAAAGTTCGAACGTTCAAACTCAAACATATTTGAACTAGTTTATAAGCTATTCTACTTCAGGGGTAATGTTTCATACCTAACTGATGGATGAATTTTGGTAGAAACAGAATCAAAAGCCTAATCTTTTTTTACCATTTAAGTGTTTCTTTCCATCTAAAAAAATGATAAAAAATTTAATTTAAATAAAATAATATTTTTGGAATCATATAGGCATGAAAAGTTAAAAGCAGTTTTAGATTACAAAAAAAAAAAAAAAATCACATGTAACACTTTATAAAAAAGAAAACTATGAAACAGAACATAGTTTCAAAGAAATCCTTTTTTGATCTATTGTTAATTTGATGACCTGCCTTTTTTTTCAGTTTCTGTTTAATTTTTAAAATAATTTAATAAATAAAGGATCTAACATAGAAACAAAAAAGTTCATGCTACAATCAATTTTGCATTATTTAAAAAAATGTATATAATTTTTATAAGTTGAATTTCAACAGTTTGATTTATTGCATATACTATATACTACTTTTTTATTGTTTTATTATATATAGTGCATTGTTAGTTCCAGATTTATATTCCAAAAATAAGTTTTGAAAATAATTGACAAAACATTGAGTTTTATGTATGGATGGGAGTTAAGGTTAGTTTTAGTCTAACTAAAAATACTTAACTAAATTTTTACTCTAAAGCGTGTACATTTTTACTCTAAATCGTGTACACAGAATAAATGTGAAAAAACAAGTGCGCCATTTTTTTCAGTGGCTGTATTAATATATTTTTAATTTTATTTTTATTGTGTTTGCAACATGTTGCTGTTTCAAAAAAAAAAAATTATTTTTCCCATTAAACTTAAATAAATTTTAGAAATGACAAAAGAAGAAGACATTAGAGAAAAAATTATGCACAAATTTTAGAAAATATGAATATAAGCTACAATTCAATAGCAAAAAAATTGTAAGTACATCCCTACACCATTATTCGTTTTATTCAACGTTTTTCCCAAACAAAAGGTGATCAAACGCAAATCTGGTGGTGGAAGAAAGAAAAGTTTTCAAGATATAAAACTGGTTAGAAAACTTGTTAACAGTTTTAAAATAAACCCTAGCCTCTCATTTAGGGAATGCGTGAAAAGATGCAAATTTTCTCATAGTTTTGTTGCAAAAGTTCAAAATAAACATGGTCAACATTTTTCCAAATCACAAAAAGTACTCAATCATTCTTAAACTCACATACTAGACATGTATTCTGGTCTGATTTAGCTTGAAGCCATTATAGTAAATTGGTGATGAAATGTTGTAAACAAAATGATGTAAGAGTTGTTCTTAAAACAGCAATTCCTCCAAACTGCCTAAAAATGAAAGTTATTGAAAAGTACTGGGCAATTTTGAAAAAATAGAAAAAAAACTATTTAGAAACGCCTAAGATTTGAAAATTTCATTTAAAAAATTTGAAAATCTCATAAACTAGTCTTGATTCTTATTCTGTGCGCCAGATTATGGGTACCACCAAAGCAAAAGTTGGAAATTTAATTAGATGTCTACAGAAATAAATAATTTTTTTTTTGAAATATTTTACCTTCTTATATTAATTTATTAAAATAGTTTTATTTTTTTATTTATTTTTTTTATTCACCTCCTCAAGGCCGAGAAGGCCACTAAAGACGAGGAGGCTACTTATTTTGTGGCTACAACCCTCTCTCAACTCTATAACTCCAAAACACAAACCTTGACGAACAAAGCCGCTGCGTGGAGAAATGAGTTGAGCGCGGTACTACCAGGGATGTGGTGGGGGTCAAACTCGGAACCACTCGTTTATGAAGTGAGCGCTCTACCACTACACCACTACCGCATCAACCATTCTACCACTACCGTATTAACCGCTCTACCACTACAACACTACCGCAGTTATTTAGTTCTAAATAAAAATTGTTAAGTACCTTTTTTTAAATGTTTTTCTACTTTCACATTTATTTCGTATACACGCTTTAACTAAAATTAGTCGACTAACTTTTTTAGTTAACTAAAATTAGTTGTTTAACCTTTTAGTTAACTAAAATTATCCGACTAACTTTTTAGTTAACTAAAATTATTCGACTAATGTTTTAGTTAACTAAAACTAGTTGACTAACCTTTTAGTTAACTAAAATTACCCGACTAACTTTCTAGTTAACTAAAATTACCTGACTAACTTTTTAGCTAACTAAAATTACCCAACTAATCTTTTAGTCTAACTAAAATTAGTCGACTAACTTTTTAGTTAACTCTAATTAGTCGACTAAAGCAAGATTTAGTGCTTGAAAAAAGAAATAATCTTTCGCATAAAAATTTTACACACGAGGAAGCTTTATTAAGGCGGTAGACTTTATTATACCGTAATTAAACACTTTACTAATTGTGAAGCATAGAGCCCTGTCGAACTAAACTGTTATTCAAAAAATATGTTTTAAGCGAAATTATTTTTATGTTTTCCCAGCTCGGAGACACTGCCTATGAGGTTTTTGCAACTGTTTATAAACACCCAATCAGCATGGAATGTACAAATA